GAAAAGGAAGTTTCAAAGAAACGGCCAAGAAGTAGATACCAGAATTGCAAGAGAAATTATATTCCAGAGGCACAATTCTTTCAAGGGGGATTGAGCAATGATGCCAAACCCTGCTGAGAAGTCACATAAGAGAAGGGTGGTCATGCTTAGGTACTATTGCAAACTCACAGAAGTTCCAGTCAGATCTTTGACCTAATCAATATTCATCATAGTTGCTATCCTGGGGTTTATTCCCTCTTCTACCTTTTTCTCAAAAGAGGGGCATCTCTAATCTTACTTCTCAAGATTATAATTCTTGGCAACCCATTTCCGCATAGGATGGGAAACTAACCTGACTCTCTTTTGGACACACTCTTTCCTCTTCATAGTGCTGACCCTCCTTGACCTCAGGTGTTGATCATTCAGTCTATTCAACTTCATTGTAAGTATTATGATATGGGTATGGGCAATGGGTTGTTCTGGAACCTGTGTTGTGGCATGTTTGAGACAAGAAGTTTTTATTCTTCCAAACTGAGCCTCCTTTAGCAAATTTGCCTTTACCATATTTGCTATGATGAAAGTCTCTATGTTTTCCTCATTTTTAAATCCACATTAGCTAAGTATTCCTTTTATACTGCTGCCTTAGATTCTCCAAACTCCTGTATGTGTGGTGGTAATATTCATCATTGGTGGATTCTAAGATATGGGGAATGGCAAAACCCCCTCCAACTAGACACATTCACAATTTAGAATCATAAACACATTCTACATATATTATCTCACTTTACCCTCATTATAGTCCTAACTATGGATATTTGCACCTAACCTTTAAAGTGGGAAATGAGATAGGCATTTATTAGGTATGAACTATATCTCAGACCTTTACAAGGGAAATGCTGTTTAAAGAAAATGTGAACAAAAATCCATATTCACACATTCACCAAAGCAATTGGAAGTTCATTGGTAAAGATATGCACAGATATTTACTATAGCTTATCATATGTGCAAGATATGGGGGAACCTTTTGCTCAAATCCTTTACTGTTTTTATATGGATGCTTTTTAAAAATATTTTTTAATTGTAAAGGAACATAATACATTTATTTATTTATCTTTATGTGGTGTTGAGAATTGAACCCAGTGACTCATGAGTGCTCTACCACTGAGCCACAACCTCAGCCCAATATGGATGCTTTTGATAGTAGCAAACTGTGTGAAAAAAATGGCTCCAAGAAGAATCTAATCAAGTGTATACCTTGTAATTTTTAAATTAATCTAATGAGTAATAATTGAGTGCTTACTTTATGGTGAGAATGTGGCTATGATTTTTTCTAATTTAAAAGCATGCATATGTTAAATTATATTACCAAACTAATGTTTGATTTATTCAAGAAGTTCAATAACCATAAAATTTGCATTATGAAAAATTGACACTGTTAATATCATCATACAAGGAGTAACCTATTAATAACTAATAATTAATTGTAAAACTGGATGTGAAGACTTTTTTCATAAACCTTTAATATTTACTTAATGAGAGATACTTTTTTCCTTCAAAGAGGAAGAAATATGAACCATTTGTAAATATATTATTGATTCTGGACAGCAAATAAAAACAAAAATTCCAATAGTAAGCTTATTTCATAAAAGGTAAATATGTATGGTGACTAAAATAGGCAAAGTAAGGGATGCTAAACATATGGCTCAGATAATACTAGCTAATACAGATTAGAAAAATGTTTTAACAGATACGTAACATAAATATGTTTAAGAACGTGCCTCAGAAGAGACCTTCCATCCTTCACAGGTTGGTTTAAACACCATCTCCTTCTACAAGCCTTTTCTGGACCCATCTGGACGTAATTGTTTTCTTTCCAGTGATTTATCGTATCTCGGGTATGATAATGAGTACTTTCATCATGCACATCTCCCACACTGGACTGTATAATTTTTTTAAAGCATGCTGCATATTACGAAGAACTATGGGCCTTACATAACAGAAACATTTAAGTACTCGTTACAATTGAAAAAGAATGCAAGGGATTTATTTGGTACATACTATTGTAAATATGAGTAGAAATTTTTTTTTGCATAAAATTATCTTTGGGTTGACAAGCACACTTTTAGAGTTATTTAGCAAAGCCTTTCTTAGATTTTTAAAATGAACAATGAAATGTCCCATCAGAATTCTTTTTACATTTTTATCTTTATGGTTTTAATATTTTAGAGAAATAAGTAATAAATGATATCAATATAAAATATCATAGGTGATATAAATTTATAAATATAAGTCAAAATAAAACTGGCTATAATTAGAAAATTTTTTAAAAAGCACACTTATTGATTACATGACTTTCCTTGCAGACAATATATATACCAGAATTACTTCCTAGGAGACTTCATAAGGTGGTATTTGTCCGCTTAATAATGTTATAAGGGTCCAGTGAATGAATATCAGCTCAGAAGTATCTGACACAAGTGAAGTATATATTTTTTACCATGCTATATCATAAAGTAAGGGCTTGAGATTGAGATATAATTCCAAAATTCTAGTAAATTAATTTGTAGTGATAACTTGTAGCCATTTAAACATGATTGAATGGGCCCTTCCAACCTCATTTTCTCTCAAATAGAAACAATTTCTCTTAAATAGATCCTTTTAGGATCCCTATACTCTATTGGCTAATATTAAGCATAGAAAATGAGAAAATATGCATGGTCAAATTCATCTTTACTTCCTTTTATGTAGATGTTCTGGCTTATCATGAGCTCTTGCATGACAATAAAGAATTTGAGATGAACTTGGTTCAAAAGTATGCAAAAGAAAATATGTTGAGGTGTGAAAGAAACCAAAAACATATGTTGGAGAAAAGATATCCTTTAAACAAATGTTGCTGGGAAAACTGGTTATACATATGTAGAAGAATGAAGCTAGATCTCTACCTCTTACCCTGCACAAAAAGTAAAACTCAAAATGTATCAAATGCCTAAGAACTATGTCAGAAATTTTGCAACTGCTAAAATGTAGGGTCAACACTCCAAAATATATGTGCATACAATGACTTCCTTCTTTAGAACTTTAGTCCCTAGGACTCCGAAAACTCAAGAAATAATGCCAAGAATGAAATGGCATCAAATTAAAACGCTTCTGCACAGCAAAGGAAACAAAGTGTGAAAAGAGCTATAGAATGGGGTATAGAGCTAGAGAATGGGATAAAATCTTTGCTAGCTACTCGTTTGACGGATTAATATGCAGAATATACAAATAACTGAAAAAAAAACCCCTAGCACCAAAAATCCCCCCAAGTAACCAGATTAATTGACAAATGAGCAAATAAATTAAGCAGACAATTTTCAAAAGAAGAAATACAAAGTGCCAACAAATACATGAAAAACTGTTCAATATTTTTATCAATTAGGGAAATGTGAACCAAAACTACACTGAGATTTCATATATATCTCAACATAGCTAGAAAGGCAGTCATGAGAATAAAAATAATTGGAAAGCTGATGGGATTAACATAGAAAAAAAGGAACATCTTTACACTGTTGGTAGGATTGTAAATTAGTGCAATCACTATGAAAATCAGTATGGAATGTCCTCAAAAGTCTGAGAATGGAACCACTATTTGAGAAAGCCTTACCTCTCCTTGGTATTTATCCTAAATAATTAAAATAAGCATTCTATGGCCATATCAGAGCACAATTCATAATAGGCAAATCACAGAACCAACCTTGTTGTTAGTCAATGATGAGTAAAGAAAATATGGTACGTATACACAATGGAGTTTTATTCAGCCATAAAGAAGAATGAAATTATGTCATTTGTAGGAAAATGGATATAACTTGAGAGTATTATGTTAAGTGAAATACACCAAACTCAAGAGTCAAATGGTGTATGTTTTATCTTAAATGTGGAATTTAGAGAGAGACGGGGAGAAATTGTGGGAAAGATATCAAGAAAATGGAAAGGGACCAATAGAATAGAAGAAGGGGACCAGAGGGAGGGAGAAAGTGAGGGCAAGGGAAGTACTTTAATTGACCAAATTGTATTGTTCTATTGGGCACATGTATGAATTTGTACAACAATTCCCCCTATTGTGCATTACACACCAATGTAAAAAAGAAAAATTAAAACTTTAAGGTTTGAATGGAGAAAAAATAAATTAAATAAATTAATTTTTATTTTATAAATGATTACTATTTTCTATATTCAAGCATGGAATTATTTGTTTTTTTAATTTAGTAATTCATTACACTATTTGATGTATAAAATATACTTTAATGTTTTAAAAATTAACTTTCTGGGACTGGGGATGTGGCTTAAGCGGTAGTGTGCTTGCCTGGCATGTGTGCGGCCTGGGTTCAATCCTCAGCACCACATACAAACAAAGATGATGTGTCTGCTGAAAAATAAATAAATAAATAAATAAATAAATAAATAAATAAATAAAATTAACTTTCTGTGGTCTTATAGTTGGCACTTTTATATATTAAAGTGGAAATAGGATAAGTTTACATTAAAAATTTTTGGTTATGGCCTGGGGATGTGGCTCAAGTGGTAGCACTCTTGCCTGGCATGCGTGAGGCACTGGGTGTGATCCTTAGCACCACATAAAAATAAAATAAAGATGTTGTGTCCATCAAAAACTAAAAAAAATATTAAAAAATTCTCTCTCTCTCTCTTTAAAAAAAAAATTATGGTTGTACTGGGCATGTACTTCAGTGGTAGAGCATTTGCCTAGCATGCACCAGGTTCTGGGTTCAATCCTTAGCACCGCAAAAAAGTAAATGAATAAAATAGTTTATGGTTGGTGTTCCTAAAAATCTTACAATAAGTTGGTGAATTTTTTATCATTGATAACTGTGGTATCTATTTATGTCAATATCCATATTAACTAATTTTATTTTTATTAATAAATGAAATAAATATCAATATGCAGGAACAATTACAATACATACAGATTGTATGTGTTTTAAAAGTTTGTTTACTTGTTTCTTTCTCTCTGTTTTATATTGAAGGTGTATAGCATGGGCTCTGGAGCTGCTGGCTTAGTTTCATGTCCAGATCTCTTCATGGCAACCTTGACTAACAACCCTGTGTTCCTATCTCCTCCTATGTAGAATGGAGAAATGAGAGCATTTATCTCACTATGTTATCAAGGCTCAATGAGGGGTATGATGGGATGAGGTAACACGTAAATCCCAATAGTCCAATACTTACTATAATAAATAATAAATGTTAAAAATGTTATTACCATTTTAAACATTTTTCATTTCATTTTGTCCTCAGAGAATCATGTGAAACAGGTATTGTTATTCCACTTTACAGATCATAAAAATGAAGAATCAGAGAAATTGAGTTGATGTCTCATATCTGTTTAATTCCAGTTCTGTTTGGTTACAGAACCCTTTCTTATGGTTTGGATATGAGGTATCCCCCCAAAGCTCCTATGTTATAAAGAAGGAAAGTTGGGATATGAAATGACTGGATTGTGAGCACTGTGGCCTGATCAGTCCATTCCAGTTTAAATGGACTGACCACATAGTAACTTTAGGCAGGTGGAGCATGGCTGGAGGTGTGCAGCTTCCCCATGGCTCCCTCCCTGTGCCATCTCCCTGCTTTCTGATTGCCATTAATGGACCAGTGCTCTCTTCCATGTCCTTCTACCATCATGTTCTGCCATACCTTGGGCCCACAGTAATAGACTTGGTCAACCATGAACTAAACCTCTGACTAAACCTCTGGAACCATGAGCCAAAATAATCTTTTTTTTCCCTCTAAGTTATTCTTTTTGGATATTTTGGTCACATTGACACAAAACTGGACTAACACACTTAACTTCTCCTCAACTATAATATATACATGCCTATAATACTCATGGTTCTCTAGAAGAACAGAATCAACAGGACACACACACACACACACACACACACACACACACACACACACACGGATAGCCATAGGAACCAGTAGCTGTTCAGTCCAAGGAGCTGGAGCTTCAGAACAAGAGGGGCCAAAGATACAGTCCTTGTCTAAGGTGGAAGGAGGCCTGGAAACTTTCTGGAGAATCACTGGTGCAGTTCTGCTTGAGAGAAGAGAAGGAGCTGGATTCCTCAGATGATTGCAGTAGATAGAAGTCCTGCTGAATAAGAAAGGAGCTTTTGTCTGTGTTAGCTTGCTCCTTGCTCCAGCCCATAGGACTGTGCTGCCCACATTCAGGGCAGTTTCCCCCCTAAATTTGCTGTTCCACATGTCAGTCATTTCTGGAAACTCCCTCATTGATACACCCAGAAGTCTCTTAATCCTAGGCATCTCTTCATCCAATCAAGTTGACCATCCAGAGTGTCTTTCACAGAGTTTTATTCAGCTCCCGCTTTTATATCAGCTTCAGTGATACTTTTTAACTTCAAGGACAGAGAATTCTTTTTATTTTAAGGAAATTGTCTTGTTTTCCTCTTGCTGACATTCCTTACCAAGGTTTAGAGACATTAAGCCAAGATTAAGTCTCAAGCAATTATAAAATGACTTTATGAATCAAATCCTCTTGTTACTACATAATACTCTTATTTCTTATTTGTAAGAAAAACTATTGGAAGCAGAAAAAAACGGTTCCGTTGAAATATTCTCCTTAAACAGATATTTTAGCAGAGTTTATCTATTTTTTCCCCTCAATGTAGAAAAAAAAATATTGTGCATTGCCACAAAAGCATTCTTATAATCATTCCAACTTCATTATTGGTTTGGATTTTATGATATCAATCCTGTTATGCAATCTAATCTCTGAGAATTTAGAGACTTCACTCATCTCAGTTTCAATTTTCAGCTTTTGTTTCTTGTTTTAAACTAATTCTCAAGGTATCATTTTTTTAGAACACAGCAAGTGGAGGCCATCAGATAATTACACATTTCCCTGCGGTGACACCATATTTTGTTAAACTCTTGTTTGCTTTCCCTGTAGCTGATGGTCTTCTCTACTGAGATTTCTGCTCTTTAAACATGTGTCACTAGATAAATCCATTATTTAGCCAAAATGTTTAATTTGGAAAGTTCAAAATACTTATGAATATATTAGAGGCCCTTATCATTTATTTTTATCATTCATCAAAGCTAACCCTTAGAGTATGTAAGAAATTTTATTGTATTCTATACCACTGCTATTTATTTTATAACAAACCACTTTACAAAAGTAATGAGTGGTTGCAATTAAATGGGGGAAGTATTAATAAGAAAAGGTAATATTCATTAAACATTACATGGTGAGCATTTGGTATTGACTCACGATATTTCCACAACAGCCCTAATCATTTTATAGTTAAAGAAGCAAAGATTCAAGCTTCGCCTAAGACCACACAGCTAGGAAGTAACTGGGCAGGGGATTAGGGTCAGTCTTGAATGAGATTTCTTTACTAATGAACTAAACCAGTGATTCTCAAATTTGGGAAACTTTCTTCTTTAAACAGAGAGTGATATCATGATTTCTGGAAAATGAAAAACAAAAAAACAAAAAACAACAACTTCCTGATTTTAGAGTGTTGTCCCAAACAACGTCTATGACGTCTATGTATATATCATTGGAAATCTTTGGCAGTGTGGAAATTAAGAAACAGGTCTGTATCATGAATGTGCATAAAATTCCCATCCTTCAACCATTAGAGAAGGAGGGAAAGAAAACTTATGAAGGGCAGGGAGGGAAGTGAAATTAAGGTTAAAGAATGGTTATCTATCTCACCCTCCCACCATCACACTGCCTTCCTTTGTCCATCCATTTTCAGTCAGATATAGTAGTATATTTACATAATCATTTGGATTGCTATATTTCTAGAATGTACTTCCGTGCAGAATTTCTCCTGTATAAACAATTTTCCCTGGTGAAGATTGATGCATGACTCGTTTTCTTGCAGAAAAGACCTGTGGTTGCAAATTTGTTCAGGATAGATTGGCAGCTCAGAAAATGAATGAAACATGTTCTGTCTTCTTAGGCAACAAATTGATCCCAGGCTTCACTAAAGATATGCCCATACAAGAACTGCCACATGTATCTAAACAATGTCCTAACTCAAATCTCTAAGTCTGGAAGTGAGTCTTCTCGTCTTCTTTAGGATAAGCAGAGACCCATCAGGTATTCCTGAGAATTGACAAGATTCAGAAGTGGGTATTGTCATAGATAGATAGATAGATAGATAGATAGATAGATAGATAGATAGATAGATAGATAGATAGAAATAAATAAATAGATAGATATATAGATAAGTATGTATGTCATTGACCTCATCACCAGTGTTTAAGTTAAGAGTTCAGGACTGTATCATGATTTTGTGTATCAAAATTTTGTCTCATCTTCATCTAGATTCCTCACATTTAAGTTTAGTAGCACTTATAGCAAAGCTCATCCTTCAAACATTAAAAAAGGAGAAGGAATAAAAGACACGAAAGGTGGGGAGAGAGGCAAAGATAAAATTGTGTCGTAACATTCTTTTAACAATTGATTAAATGGTTATGCTATTTCATATGTACATGTAGATTATGTAGATAGAACCACAAATACAAGAGGCAGTACCTTGAAGACAAAGGGAAGATTATGTTTCCCCAAATTGGATGTGCTTCAACTGTGTACAGAGGTTCTGGCTGCAACCTTCAGTCCCTTAACTCTTAGTCTGAGGCCACATCATATTCTGCTGTCACTGTTGTCTTCCGTCAGTCAGGCTGCGGATGTCACATTCTCATCAGCTTCATTTTACAATATGGGACATGCATAAGAGAAAACCTGGGCATTGTGAAGAGGGTTATGAGCGGAGAATATTTGGAAAAGCAAATTTTGAGACTAAGACTTGGCAATATCCAGGACATAACTAAATATACATAAGTGTTTGGATTTTATTATTATATTTATTTACACTTTTTTTCCTACCATGACAACTTCCAGATAATATTTTCTGACTGAGAGTTGGTGACTTCCACAGAAGTGACATTATTCATTAATGACTCAATGTTCAAAAAGGTAGGGAAATTTGCAAAAAGTGATTTTTGCTGGAGGATGTCGTAAATGTGATGCTAAATCAGATAGTGTGAAAGGAGACCCTCACTGGTTCACAGTGATGTATATTTGGTCTTTTCATGCATTCATTGATTTGTGAAGTAGAAAAAAAATCCATACTGGACATGTTTGAAATTGCTCTGTGTGAATTGAGAATTGTGTTGTGACATTCTGTTTACAATCGATTTATCTGAATATGCTATTTAACATAGACATGCAAAAATTATATAAAATACCATCTTCATATATAAATGTATGTGCAAGGAAGGAAAATTCTTCAGAGGATTAAAACACTGTTTGGAATTCTGCCAAAGTCGAAGAGGTTGCTGTCTTATGCAAATTAAGAGACATAAAGCAGAGTATTTACTGAGCAGATTCATTTGGTTTGTGTAATCAAATATTGGAGCAGATTATCTATGTGGGTAAGACTTGTGACTTGAAATTAAACTATAACTTTCAACTTTTCATCCATGAATGATGTTGAAATGAGGTAGGGAAAATTAGATGAAGTAAATATTCTATTGCATCTATATACTGTAAGCATGTGAGTGGGTCTTTGTGTTTTCTAGAAATGTGTATTTAAAACCAAATACTAAAATTGTTATCACTTTGGTTCACATTTACATGTTATGTTCCTACTTCCACTCCTTAATCTCCCCCACCCCGCACTAAATATCTGGAGAAAAACAGAGAAAAGCAATATTTTTCTTCATTTATTCTAGCCCAGATATTCCACCGGGAAACATTGCATGTATTACCTGAATAAATCCTCACAAGAGTATGATAGCAAAGCAATCTAACTCTTCCAAGGGAGGAAATTGAGGCACAAGAACAAACATGTTTACTGACATCACTGACAATTTAAGACTTGGAAATAAGAATCGACTCTACATGACTCGAACAACAGTGATCTTTCTTACTGATACGATCTTTTTTTTAAAAATATCTAGTCAAAATTTATTCCTTTGATTTAAAAAATCAGAAGACTCAACCGCATATTATTAGAGCATTAAAATTTCTTAATATGATATTCAATATCCTCCTTAATACAGTTCTATGTTTTCTTATTAAGTCTCATGACTCTTCTTCATTTGTCTTAATAATCAATTAATATGGACTTCTTTTGTAAACAGAGCCCTTCTTTCCTCTTTTTTTTTCATTCTTTGATGATTTATGCTGTTCACTCCCACTTAGATTATTTTCTCACTATATATAGCATGTCCAATATATTATTCAAGTGCTAGGATTACCACCACCTCTTCCGTAAAGCCTCTCCTGGTCTTGGTTAGCCAAGCCAACCATGGCTTGAACTTCTGATTTGGAATTTACACAATCTGATTCGTGCTCTAGTTATTTGTATTTCTATCTTAACTCCTTTGTCAAATTCTTGGTGGAAAGAAACATGTCTTATTTCCCATGATAGATGGCATAATTTTTGGTCCATAGCAGAAATTCAATAATTATCTTTGAATGATTTAATTAAAATGATAAGTGACTGAAGAGAAACATATTTTATGCTTTAAGTGACAAGGTTCTTTTATTGTTGATTCTCATGGAAATTTTTAGAACAGTTAAAATGAAATTTGTCCACAATAGAATCTCCAAGTGTTATTTCTAAGACTGGTCTGGAATAGTAATATATAAAACTCCCTTGTAAACCCCTGGAAAGCATTCCAAAATGTCAAAGATCCTGGATTTAAAAACAATGATGGTGACATTAATATGGAAAACACATGCAGTAATTAAGAATGTAAATGCATTTGCACATGTAATATGTTAGCTTCTTTTTTTTTTTTATTATTGGATTGGTATACTTACCAAAGAATAGAACCCATTTGTGACACAGAACGTTAGTATGATTTGTCAGTAACACATGTATCGCTACAAGTTATAAGGGCAAAAAAAAAAATTATAAATTAAGGCACCCGTGGGTCATTCAACTCAGCTGGCAATACACCTGAATAAAAAAGGAGCACTGGACTTAATCTCCAGGCCTGTCATTTATTTCTTTCACACAAAAAGTATGGGACACAGGTGGTCAGAAGTCAAAGATCATACTCTGCCTGAATGCTTCATAAGGCATGATACAAATGTACGGGACCTGCTGGGTAAAATCAAAAAGTCACCAGAATGGGGTGCCTATTTAGTGATCCAGGTCAAAGGCCACTTTGCTTTTGGTGTTTTACAAATGTTTGACAGATTAAATAGCCACCTCCTAGGGATAGCAAATAGGCCATGGAGCTGAAAGTATTCATAAGCATTAAAGCTTCATTCAGAATTCTCCTTATGAAGAATGTGGTCATATAAGATCAGTAATATGGTTAAAATGATTTGTCCCTTGGCCAAAAAATATCACTCTATACAATATCCCTGAGTGTAATCACAGATGCTTCAAGGTGAAGATTAGAAAAAAAAAAGGAAAAGAAAAAAGAAATAAAGAAAAGAAAAGCAACAAATATATCCAGACTCTTCATTCGTTGAAATAAAGAAGTACCTTTTGAAGCTTTATTCCTTTAAATTTATATATATATATATATATGCACACACACACACACTTATTTCATCATTAATCTATGGAAATTATTTTTCTGATATCCAGCAGTTTTTAGAGTTCAATATGTTATAAATTTGATGTTTATAATGATATATTTTGACCAATAATCTGGGACTGTTCTAAGACAATAAAGTAGGTAATTTAAAGAAAAAAATATTTTATACCTGCTGTAAAATGCCCTAAAATTAAGGTGGTATCATTATTTGACACAGTAGCTCTTTATCCTTGTTAGAACTCTTTGTAAAAAATATGCACAAAAATTAGTTTATGTTGTAATGTGCCTCTCCCTTTTTAAGTATTCTTTTACAATTTGCAAAAATGATATTAATTTAGCTTCCTTGGCAGATTTATCTTAGTGAATGGTGTAAATTACATGAGACAGAATCACCTGGAGGGCTTGTTCAAACACAGACTGTTGGGCTCCACCCCAGAGCTTCTGATTCCTATGACCTGGGTGAGGATTGAAAACTGGCATTTCTGACAGTCGTCTACAGAATGCTGCTGCCCCGTCTGGAGTGCATACTTTGAGAACCAACTAACTGAAACATTGCAGCATCCATAAAACAGATTGCAAAAAGAAAGAATTTACTCGATAATATGGATATGCTCAAATAGACTGATAGTTTTTGTATTACAGATTTAGTTGTAATGCTTTCTTTCACTTCCACTTTTATTGGTTACTTTATCACAATGTAGATACAGAATATGTCTTTTTCTCTAGCTATGTTTCATCATCAACATCATTTTCGTTAATATGGACTCTTAGAAGATCTAAAAAATAATTCTGAAAGAATTTTTATTAATGAATTTACCTGAAACATGCTAAATTTGCCATCAGCATTGTTGCTTTTGGCCTTTGACATCAGATAAACCACGATCATCTTTATACCAGGTGGGATTTGACAGAAAAACTCAAGTCATTCATTTGCAGAATTAAACCACATTTGTCTGAACTCTTATAGATTTACTGTTATTTTTCGTATTTCACCATGTGTAACTTCTTTTTCATCAAAAGTGCTTACCACCTCTGCCTCTAATGTCTTCCTTCTTTTTATAATTGTTATCATCCCCCCTCGGCCCCTCAGAAGTCCATGCCTTTGCCATAGAGATTTTACATCTTTTACAGTAATCCCAGTTTACTGTGGTTTTAACATATACTATGCTATGGAAAGGATGTGGAGAAACTGTACCCAAATCACTCACCTTTCATATTCACTTTAGCACAAGTGAAAGAAGGTAGGGATGTAGGGACACAGAATGTGAAATAATTACAATACCCTTAGCATATAACAAAATTGTATAATGGATATTGTTTTTGGTTTGATAGTGCAGACTGTATGATTCTTTTTCTCTCTAATTATGTAGCTTCCTTTCAGACTATTTCTCTGTTGATTTGTTTGTTTGGTTTTTTTGTCAATGAGATGGAGGAAAGTAAATGGTAATCTCAGTACTCACTCATAATTTTCTAATTTACAGTAATTCTCAATATACCACATTGTAAATGAAAACTAATTTATTTCATGTAAAAGATACTGGTTTTCAAGTTCTCCTATATTTTATCTATGCCTTCACATACATGCCCAAACACAAAAACAAACCCCAGGGCTGGGATTGTGGGCCAGTAGTAGAGCACCTAGCATGTGTGAGGCACTGGGTCCAATCCTCAGCACCATATAGAAATAAATAAATTAAATAAAGGTATTGTGCCCATTTATAACTAAAAAATACATTTAAGAAAAACCTATAGTGTTTTCAAAACTGTGAAAAGAAATAGGAAAGGATTAGCAGCAAGGAAATAAAGGAAGACAGTCAATGTGAAAGCACATGCTGAAACATTTGTGCTTAATGTTGCTGTTTAATAACCCTTGGAAGTCTAGATGTGAAATCTAATTTTAGATTTTCAAATACATAGATATATATGATTATCTCTAATTGTCTCTCTATAAATAATTAGAAGGAATTCAAAGAAATACTTATATGATAATATATCAATTGAGGATAAAGACAATGTGAAAATTATGTAAGACAATGTTCTACTCAAAAGTTGTAAAGAAGGGCTGTGTTTATTTAAAAATTTCTTGGGCTGGGGATGTGGCTCAAGCGGTAGCGTGCTTGCCTGGCATGCTTGCGGCCCGGGTTCGATCCTCAGCACCACATACCAACAAAGTTGTTGTGTCCACCAAAAATTAAAAAATAAATATTAAAAAAAAGTTGTAAAAAAAAACAAAAAGAAACATCAGAATCATTATTTTTTCTTTCTCTTCTAAAAATGTTATTAAGTATAATAACTATGAAAATAAAGATGATAAAAATGCCATTTTCTGAAAGTGCCATTAAATATTAATTTTGGAGATGGTGCACCCTGTAGGGTGTGCTCAGTTCCCTCATTCTCCTTTTGCTCCACCCATAAATCACTTCCCAACCCTCATCTAGCTTACCAAACATCCTGGGTAACATCCTGGTTTGCAGCAGGTGTAATATCTACTGACATTTCTTTATAGGTGACAGATAATTTTCTTATAAAATTTTTATTTCATTTTCACTAGTTTCCTAATTGTTAATTTATTTAGCAATTTCTTCTGCAAATAATTTATATTTCAGACTTACCTGGTATATTGGAAAAGTTTTTTTTTTCCCCAATTCAGAACGTGAATGAGCAGCAGGGAAATGGTGGTTATCCACAGAGATATTTGTGTGTATGTTTGTATGTGTGTGTCTGTGTTTCCATGAGTATTTGGATGTGGAGGGATGAGTATCTTGAGAAGAATCAGGGAAGGGCTGCTTGTGAGGATCTCACAACTTACTCAGTCTCATGGTAAATGCCATCTTAAAACATCATCCTAACTCATCAATACTCTGTATTGATGCTTGTGTGTACTTACTCTTAATGCTAATATCCTTCATTATTCCTATTCTAGTTTATTGCCTTGGCGCTTGCTGAGTCTCTTCATCCATGAACCTATAAAACCTGATTCATTTTCTCCTG